GGAGGCGGCGGGGGAGAAGGGGTGCGGATAGGAGCATGTCGGGCAGGTGGCGGAGGAGGGGGGGGAGGAGGAACAGCCGGTGCTGAGGGCTCGTTGGGCGGCACCCGCGGGGGCGGAGCCGCGGGCGCGGGCTTGCGCCGCGAGGTCGGAGGGGGAGGCGGTCCTCTCTTCGGCTTGGGCTGTTCGGGAATGGGCTGGGCAGCCGTCATCGCCAGCGCCTGTTCGGTTAGCTTCCTTCTCCCCTCCCAGCGACAGTTCAGGCCGACACTCACATTCTCGATACCGCCCTGACTTTCGACGTAGTCCTTGATGAAGTTCTCGTTGTTCTTGATGTCGGCCTCTGACACACCGCGCATCGTGAGCTGCTCGAGTAGAATTTGCCAGCTTGGGTCTACACCGGTAGACGTGAACCCCTTCTCTGAGTCGAAGCCCATGTGCGCAACGTGCTTGAATGAGCCATCCTTGGGCCCCGAGATAAGACTCTTGTCAAGGCGCCCCTTGATACGTTGCGCAAACGACTTCTTCTCCTTCTCACCGCCAGCGGCTTCCTCTCTACGGTTGACCTTGTGCGCATACTTGGATCGGTTTGCGACCTTCTTGTAGAATTCGTGCGCCTCATGCTCCGAGGCAAAGACGAAGGCGATCATGGCGTCCTGTGCGTCAGCCTTCGAAACAAGCATTATGATTACCTCAGACGCCCAAGTGTGAAAGAAAGGCTTGTCGGCGTTGTACTCGATCTCGTTTGGCAGCTCGTGTTCCCAAATCACACCACTGTTAGACTACAGTCAGCTCGTCCGATCATGTGTTCAGCTCACGGAGAGGTCCACAATGCGGAACCATAGGCCTCCCTTGGCCTTGTCTGCTACAAACGCCAGCGCACCGGTCGCGCCGCCATAGTTCCATCTGGAGTAAGCGGGGCAGCGGGCGATTCTCACGTTGACGAGTCGGGCTTGGCATAGTAGACTCGAGCGACGCCGGCTGTGATGATCTTGTTGGTGGATCCTGAGGTGGGTATGGCCTTCTTGACCTTTGCCTTGTCCTCTGTGGAGAGGAGGCCAGAAGGGGCCATGGTGGCAGTTGTGGACAGAAATGGGAGGGAGACGGAGTGGTAGATGCAAGAGAGAGAGTGGTTGAGGAATGCGTGTGTGTGGTGGGATGATGATGCTCGGCACAGCTGTGCACCTTCCAACGGTCGGCTGCGGGGGCGTGGAGGTTAGCGGGGGTAGCATTTAATGTACTACCGATAAGGAATTCTGGGGTTGGGTGAATAATAACATTAGAATAGATTACAATTCAGGGCTAATGACGATGACGTCGAACGATACACAAGTGCCGACGCGCGCCAGGACCGGAAACGGCCAAGCGCCCAGCGAAGCCGCACTTGATCCAACCTCGTTCTCATCTTCCATCTCTTGTATTCGCTCTAAACACACCTCTTCTCAACGCCATGCCCTACTTTGAGAGTGGCCTCTTTCCAAACTCATGGGTCATCTTCGCCATCTTTGGGGGCATCGTCTCCATCCCACTGGGTTGCATGGCCCTCTACGCACGCCAAGTGGAAAAGAGACCCTGGAAGCACAAAACGGCCACAGTGCTCGTCCTCGGCGACATCGGTCGCTCCCCACGCATGATGTACCATGCTGAGAGCTTAGCCAAGGCCGGCTGGGACACGTACATGGTCGGCTACGGAGGTGGGTCCACTGGTAAGCGGCACTGACGCTAGACACGGCGCCCATTCCCTCACTTCTCGAGACACCACGGGTGCACTTCCTGCATCTCTGGAACCCACCTAGGCTCATCATGAAGCTGCCATGGATTGTTCGCGCCCCCATTCGAATCCTCTACCAGATTGCGTCGGTCGTGTACCTCTGCGTCTTTGCCATCCCGTGCAATACTCAGATCTTCCTCGTGCAGGTACGTTGGTATGCCAGCTCCGCATCTCACTCAGAACCCTCCGTCCATCCCTACGCTCCTCCTGTCTCAGATCATCTCCGAAACGACTCGCTCAAAACTCATCATTGACTGGCACAACACCGGATACTCTATTCTAGCACTCCGTCTTGGGGCAAAGTCCCGCATCGTCAAGTGGGCCGAAAGGTGGGTGCAATCTGGGGGCCCGGCTAAACCTCAGCTTCGAGCGAAAGTTCGGCAAGCGCGCGTACTGCCACCTGTTCGTCACTCGCGCCCTTGAAGAGTACCTCACTCGGGAATGGCATCTCGAAGGGCGCACTGCGGTGCTACATGACCGCCCACCGTCTCAGTTCCGCCGCACAGAGGTGATCACCCTGCTGAATGTGAGCCTACCTCACCAGAATGCCGACTGACTGTAGCTGTTCCGTCGTCTCACGCCGGTGATCGCTCCACCGCTGCCCGCCTGGCTCGAAAGCAAGAACATCCGCGACACCGCATTCACCGTGCTTACGCCATCGGGCGTCAAGCTGCGCGAGGATAGGCCAGTGTTCTTGGTCTCGTCAACTTCATGGACTGCTGACGAGGACTTTGGGTTGCTCCTTGAGGCACTCGACAAATATCAGGAGCGCAAGTCGTCACCCGAGGGCAAGAGCTTGCCCAGAGTGTTGATGATTATCACTGGGCGAGGGGCTCTGCGGAAGCCCTTCGTTGAGCAGGTAGCGGTAAGAGAGAACTCTGGCAAGTGGCCGGACGTCGCGGTGCGGTGCATGTTCGTCAGCGCGCGTGATTACCCACTGCTTTTGGGATGTGGTGACTTGGGCATTTCGATGCACCAGTCGTCATCCGGGCGTGACCTGCCGATGAAGGTCGTGGACATGTTCGGATGCGGAGTGCCCGTTCTCGCACGCGGATTCTCGTGCATCGACGAGCTTGTAAAGGACGGCGTCAATGGCCGGGTATTCAACACGAGCGAGCAGCTCGCGGATCAGCTCATTGTGAGTTGCATCGCCCCTCTTGACTGACAGCAGGACGTACTCGCCGGCTTCCCCCACGCGCCGAAGCTGGAGGCTTTGGACCAATACTTCCACCAGCAAACGGGCGCTTCTACGCCTATGCGCCGGGTCACCCGACCCGGTGTTGAGCAGGAGTGGTCGACGTGGGACGAGAACTGGGACGCGGTCATGCGCCGGGGTGTGCTCGACTTCAAGCGCTGGTAGGATGCGGCATAGAGACATCGTGTAGGCATACATTGAATGCAGCATTTGCATAGCTATAACACAACAGCGGAAGGGGCGGTGCAGAGCTATGGACAACAACTTCGCCTCACTTTGCGGCAGTCAAGCCCAAGAGAATGCGATATGGGGCGGATGCGCGAGGCTCGCGCGCACAGGATTTGGAGGGTTTCGAAGATATTACTGAGATTCGCTCGGTGTGTGAGGGGACGCGCGCCGTGGGCGATCGGGCGAGGCATTTTGCATGAGCAAGCTCCGCACTCGATCGGCGAGCGGGCCACCAGTGCCCTCACGCATGCGCACGGGCTGGCGGACGCGCGGCTCGGTCGCGCTCGGCTGCCGCCGTGGGGGCTCCGATCCGGCGTTGCGGCGCCAGGTGCTCTCCCGGTCCGCAACGGACGAGGACGCGGCCTGGCGGCGGGGCGGGCGGGACGGCTCGATGGGCGGCGGGTGCGCAAGGCCGCACGGCCCGATACGACCACCCTGAATTGGGTGCGGCTTCTGCGGCTTTCTGTTGGGGGTTTGCATGTTGAACGTGCTCGATGGCTGCCGCCTGTTGGGCACACGCGCAAGCACAGGGGCGCTCGTGCTCGCGCTGGCGCTCGGAGCTGACGACGAAAGCGGAGCGGGGACGGGCTTCCACGCTGATGTTGTAGGCTTAGGAGGTGAGGAAGACAGTGGTTTGTCGGGCAAGGAAGATATGTTTTTCTTGGGCGATGAGGAAGGGCCCTTCTTCGGCGAAGACGAGAGAGGCGGGAACGCCTCAGTGTCCTTGACGCTCAACGCCTCGATGGCCCTGCGCGTAGCCTCGGCATCGTCCTCACTGTCCTCGCTGTCCCAATTTCTTCCCGACCGCAGCTCGACGCGCTTCGTCTTGCGCTTGTCATTTTTGACCGCCGCTTTGCTCTTGCTCGCTGGGTCGGCCGCGAAGGGGTTTTCCACCTTCTTCACCCCCGCACGTCCGTTGGCGCCGGGTACGGCGCCGCGGCGCGCATCGGCCTCGATCTGTCTCCGCCCTCGGAACGCGCCTACATCCTCCTGTGGAACGTAGCCGTCGCGGATTTTCTGCTCCTTGCGCACGCTTCACATCAGCGGGGACGAGAGGTGACTCACGACCCGTCTTTCCGGCGCGAGGCAGGGACGACACGCTCAAGAGTACGCGGGTCGACGATGATGCCCGAGGCGGACTTTTCGGGGTTAAGAGGTGGGAGCGACATGGTGATCATGCGGATGAAGAAGAAGAACAAGTGTCAACACGGAAGGACAGGTCTGTCGCAGTCAGATTGCGGATGGTGCGAGCTACATGAGTGATATTAACGGAACCAGATTGGCTGTAATTGGACCCCGCACGTCGTCATTTGCCACCTATGGAATTTTGAGGTGTGTTTGCTCCTCAACTCCAAAAGCTGCTTCTCACCATCCAGCCCTCAAGCGCGCGCGCATGGACGGCGTAAACTCCAACAGCAAGGAGGCCGTGCGCCTTTGCGAGCACATTGTTCGTGGCGCGTTTGGCGACGTTGTCTGCGTAAGTAACCTCGCACTAGGCCATGCTGACCACAGCGTGTAGCGTCGACTTTGCTGAACCGCGGGCGCTCAAATGTTGAGACAATCGCCCGACTCGCTGCCCTTCCGCGCCCGACTACCAATGCATCGCTGTTGATCCTTATTCAGCACAGCTTGGTGGGCTCGGCTGGTGGCAGCCGCCGCTCCGTGCCCGAGGAAGAACAGTACGAGTTTGACACGGCTGAGTGCCTAATGCGCTTGCGGTGGGGGCGCATTCTCGCGCTCACGGAATCCAACTTTGGAGAGGACGTGAGCCGTTCCGCGGATCGCGCTGACTCCAGGCCCTGATGGTCGTGCGCCAGATGCTCGTCTACGGAAAGCTGTCCTTTCCGCAAATTGTGGACGCGTGTGGAGCAGATAAGCATCGTGAGCTTGGCACTCGCGCCTGTCCACTAACAACAGACGCTCTAGTGCTTAGGAAGCTAGTCGTGCAGCTACTGAGGAAAGGATATTTGGAACCGTCTTGCGCCGAGCTCCTTATCCTGCGATCAGATCAGATTGAGAGGCGGTACCGCGTGAGTAGCAGACATTTGCGCACTGCTGACCCCAGGCCAAGTGGCTAGACAAGTCGGCCGCGACGGGGACAAAGCTACACACGGCAGGGACTCTCACAGAGATGCGGCAACAGGCCGCATCCGAGATCGACGAGGAGCGCAAGGAACACCGCAACCCTGCGAAGGCGCTCAAGGAGGTCAAGGGCAAGAAGAGGGAGCGCAACCAGAACGAGGACGATCTGTGGGATGTGGTGGAGGACATGCCGCTACGTGTCAACTACGACAAGTACAACGTGCTTATCCGCAATGAGATGCTCATCAAGGCGGCGGCGGACCGGTGGAACGAAGCCGCAGGAGAGGTGCTGCGCGCCGCCCTGGCCGCTTCCTTGGACGAGCAGACCGTGACCAAAGAGATCCGCACTGAGAAGGCCGTTGGTGTGAACAACATCGTTTCCAACATCCCTACGAACAAACACAAGCTTCTTATGGCCGGCATGGCCGGCAGCGGGTCGAAGAACATCCCTGAGATTGTTCGCCAGTACCTGGCTGTCATGAGCGGTGATGATCTCGCCTCAGACAACACGTCGACTCGCTACCTCTCTCACAGTGACCACTCAAACCCAAGCTACTGGGTCGAGATTGAGGCCATATGCACATCTCTCAAGGCAGCGCTTCTGACCGAGCTCGTGCGCGAGCGCATCGACGAGAAGGCGGCGCGTGTCCTTGCCGTGGTGGCGCGGGCACACTATGCGTCAGAAACGATGGTATGTCAGACAATCTGCCAGGGCTGACAGCAGGTGCGCGACTGTGCAATGATCCCTCTCCGCGAGGCGCGCCACATTCTTTCCGAGCTACAGAAGCTGTCACTGATCGACATCCAGGAGGTGCCAAAGACGGCCGCGAAGAACCGCGGCCAGTTTCCCGGCGCTGATTTCCACCTATGGGGCATTGATCTGCGCAAGGCATACGGCTTCCTACTTTCGGGTGTTTACAAAACCACCGGAAATCTCGTGCAGCGCCGGCAGAAGGAGTGGGATAAGCGCTCTGCGCTGTTGGCTAAGTTGGACCGGCCCGACGTGCGGGGATTAGATCCCAACTTGTATCTCAGTGCCAAGGACTCCGGCGACTATGCCGATCTCCAGAACGCCCTCACCATGCTCTCGCTAGCGGAGGCGCGCACAGATTTGGTTGTCATGATGCTGCGCGACTTACCCGGGGGCATCCCGACACGGTAGCATAGGAATGCATGTTGTACAGCGCTGCGCTCTGCGAGTATGTGGGCGATTGGAGCCAAACATTGATCGGTATTTGAGTCCGGGATCCACATGGCACCCACGTGACTAACCAGGCACTCCTCAGCTCACAAAGAACTCGTCCGCTCAGCACTCACTTCGACATTACTCCATTCACATCCATCATGAACGGGTACGGCAGCGCACCCCCCAACGGAGGCGAGGCGAGCGTTACGGTTCCCGCGGGGCCGACGAACCAGCCGCGCGTGCTTGTGCGCTCGCTGAACCGCGACGAGCTCGTCTTTCACCTCTCGGGGGTCGATATGGCGTACGCCAACAGCTTGAGGAGGACAATGATGGCGGACGTCCCGACGATCTGTGAGTGGATGTTGGGGTATGGCTACAGCTGGAGCTAGAGGCGTGTGCAGTGGGGGCCAGATGCTCGGGGTGGTTTAGCGAGAAACGTCGAGACGATTGCGCCATCTTCACGGCGCATCGTTACTCTGGAGCGCTCGCACTGTAAGCTCTCTGGCGCGAACAAAATCCGCAGCTGATTGCTGTGTTGCGCTAAAACTCTTCTTGTCGCGTCAGGTTTCGTTCTCTACCAGAGCGTTGGACGTGGCTTCATCGACCACTGCAATTCATCACGCTGAAATCGCGCTGACTCCAGCCATCGACCAGGTTGCGTTTCACCAAAATACATCTCCCATTCCGGATGAGATGTTGGCGCACCGTCTCGGCCTGGTGCCGCTCATTTCTCGCGGCGCGGCCAAGGGCCTGCGATACACTCGTGACTGTGACTGCGACGAGGGCTGCTACTATTGCATGGTGACACTGCGGCTTAAGGTGTCCGCCGCCAACGCGGGGTACAGGCAGTACATGGCCATCACAAGCGATATGCTGGAAATTATCCCAAGCCCAAACACGGTGAGTGATGATTCTGTCTGAGTCTACCCGCTGGATGACGGTGAGAGCATCTTACTGCAAGCGGCAAACCATTTTGGCTCCATCCTATCCCAGCTCGCATGCGCCGGCCCCGCTAATTCAAGCCTCAACAAAACCCTTACGGTCCGCCACCAGAGCTCGGCGAGGAGGAGCGCGACATTATCGCGAACCGCGACCCGGATCTGGGACAGCCCGTCGGCAAGGGCGACCCGACGGCGACCCCTGTGCAAATTGCGCGCATCGGCCGCGGTCAAGAGATCGAGGTTGTCTGCAAGGCGTACAAGGTGTGTCTCGAGCATCGCTGCTATGACTCGACACCTTTGAGCTGACTTCAGGGTATCTCGAAGCACCATGCCAAGTGGCAGCCCGTGTCTGCAGTCGGCTTCGAGTACGATCCGTACAACAAGTTGCGGCACACGGACTACTGGTTCGAGACGGATGCCGAGGCCGAGTGGCCGCTGTCCTCGAACCACGTCTTTGAGACCGCGCCAGACCCTTCCGAGCCGTTTGACTACAACGCCGTTCCAGGGACGTACTACTACAACGTGGAGAGCGTTGGCTCGATCCCTGTAACGAGTGTGTTCGAGCAGGCGTGCGATATCATGGTCGACAACCTCGCTCAGATCATTCAGAGCGTACAGGAGGAGACAGGGGCGGATGAGGAGGAGGATGAGGGCTTTGTCGAGCCGCACGTCAATGGCGGTGACGGGTACGAGTATGGGGGCTATGGTGGTGGTGGTGATCAATGGGGTGGTGGTGGTAGTGGCGGCGGCGGCGGCGGCGGCGGATGGGGCGGCACGGGTATGAGCCCGCTGCGGCGGTGAGCGGCCCGACGCTGGGTGATTTGTCTAACCATCGACAAGTGTTCTAGAGCATGGTGCATGCAGCAGTGTAACCTCGCCACTCGTTCCGTAATGACTTCCGGGTGTTGGTCACCTCCACCGACCTCCACCTCCACCAGCCATCTTGACCTCCCTTGGCATCATCGATCACCGATCCACATCTCACTCCCCGACGTCCATTTTATCATGACGGACGTCACAGACGACCCAGGATGGACGAGCGGCGATGCGACGCTTGTCTCGGCAGATGGCGTGCGCTTCAAAGTCGCGTCCTACTATCTCTTCACGGCGAGGTGCGCTCGCCACCGCCGTCCGCTGACCTCAGTTGTGTCTTCCGACAAGCGCACGCCGTTTCCTCCGGTCCACTACACCTCGAGTTCGACGACACGTCCATAGAAAGCGCATCCACCATCCGCAACTTTCTAAACCTAATAGTCCACCTTCGCCTTCACTTAGAACCCGCCCCCACCTCCGCCGCCTCCGCCCACTCGAGCTCCCCACGCCTCTCCTCCACCCTTCACCAAGCCGACCAGCTTAACGCCCTCTTCCGCTTTCTCGACAAGTACGACTGCCCGGTCCTGCGCCGCAGCGCTATCCTGGTTCTCGACACCCTCCTCCCGTCGAGCATCGACCCCGCCGCTGCACTGTTGGCGGGGTGCGCGGCTGACGAGCCCGATCTCGTATCTGCCGCGCTCCGCTTCGCGGACCGCGGGAAGAGCGACGGGCATTATGAGGCCCCGGAGGCAGAACTGGCGCTCACGGCCGCCAAGGAAGACAAGGATACTCTCGACCCCGCGAGGATGCCGTACGAGTTTGTACGTCGCATCCCGCAAGAATATGCGTGGGCACTCGCACGAGCCTGGGGTGGCAGGCCGTACCCTGTGCGGGAGAGGTTTGGGGAGTATATCAAGGCTGTTAAGAGTGCGTCGAGTACCAGAATGGAAGTGTGAATGGACTGACGGCAGGGTATCGCTCGAAAGAGTAGAGGCGAGCTCGAGCGCGGGGTACAGAGGCGGCTGGGTGATGCTCAAGTGCGGGGCGAGCAGCCAACTAGCAACGACAGCGCATCTGTGTGTAATTAAATTGCATTCTATACTCTACACGGTCGCGCCGAACACGCGACTCAAGAGCTTCACACGCAGGGCCGCGCTGCCTGGCGTGCGGGTAATTGCCTTAGGCAACGCCTTCGACTTCTCCGGCTCGTCCTCAGCTTCCGCCTCGCCGTTGGGTGATACGTTCGCCTCGGGCTTGGGGAAGTGTGTTTCGGATGCCTGTGCTTTGGTGGCGGGCATAGGAATGTCGTTGAGCAGCCCTTCATCCTCGGTGCGCTTCTTCCCCTCCGTCTCTCCAGTTCCGCGGCGGTCGACCACACACATCCCGCGCGTGATCTCGCCACTTCGCTCGACGCCGAACTCGCGTCCTGTCACCTCCCACTCCGCACTCGTGGTGCCGGGCGCGTTCTCAACCGCGTACCATACGGCCACCGGGTCGTGCATTTCCATTGCGTCCGGCAGACCGAAGCGCTTCTGCAGCCCACGAACGCGAAGAAGAAACGCTGTGGTGAACGCCTCCAGCGGCGTACCGCCTTCATGCAGCAGGTCAGGGAAGGGCACAGTGTGCCGCGCTGTGATGTCGAGTGGCGCAAAGACAAAGCTGAACTCGCCTGCCTTTGCTGCGAGGCGCAGCATGTCGAACGCATATGGGTCGGCGAAGGAGTTGAACTCTGCTACTGGTGAGGTGTTTCCTGGCACATCGAGGGCGCCACCCATCCACACGACTTCACCGATGCGCGCGAAAGTTGCCTTGTCCGCGCGGTAGGCATGGGCGACATTCGTTACTTGGATTAGCTTGTATGCTAGCAAAGACTTGTGGCAAAGGCACTCACAAGGACCAAGAGCGACAATCGTGACGCTTCCCTCCGGCTCAGACGCAAGCAACTGGAGAATCTCATCCCGAGCGCTCTTCTGGCTGATCTCGAGCGGGTATTCAGTGCCCGCGGGCGGCGTGAACTCGGGGTTGGTTTCAGAGATGTTGCTGAGCCCATCACGACCATGCTGTGGTAAGCCAAGCGCGTCTGTGCGAGGGCGTATCGGAAGGGCGTGCGGCACGGTAAGGAAGGAAGGGGCAGCTGGCAAGTGTAGGATCAGTAGAGTTGACTCACAAAGTAAGTTGCCACATGTTTCTCGCCACCTATAGGTGCGTCTTCCCCTACTGCGACCACGGTGCGGTTGGCCAGTGGGTAGCGCTCCTTGGCGCCAGGGTGAGCTTCACGCTCCCGCGCGAGCTGATAGTACATCTTGAGCAAGTTGTCACGAGTGTTAATAGCGTGTGTGTTACCTGGGATTAGCGGTGCGATAGACGGCAAGCAGAGCCAGTGCAGTAGAGTGGAGGCTGCGGAGAGGAAGGTACGAGCGCGGGATGGACGCGGGACGGGTGGCAAGATTGAAGATGGCAAGATGGAGAACAGAAGCGAGGCCGGAGTGCCCGTTACGCAGAGCACAACGCAATGCAGGAATGCAGATGCAGAGCGCGGAAAGTGAAAGCACGCCGTTCCCATCGCTGACCGGTGTGCCGAGCGGGGTACTCACCAAACACGAGCGTGATCAGCGCAACCTCGACCTCGGGCTGCCATCAGCGCGGAATCGAAGGAACTCACCGAGGCCAACGCCAGGAGAATGGCGAGGACGTCGTCCACGCCAGGGCTGCACTTAGCTCCGACAAGGCGGAATGGCTTACTCGGTATCAATGATGATCTTGCGGGGCATCGTGTTTGTAGAGAGAAGGACCAAGAGGATAAGGAGCGGATAGGAGTAGTCACCGCCGCGGGACCTCCACCGCGGCGCGTCCGCGTCATTCAATTCCTGCCCCACTTCTCTGGAGCACCTCCACCTTCACTGTCCAACTTCGAGCTCTATCAACAAAATCTCTCATACTTCGTCACTCCCATCTTCTAATCAACTGCCATGGCTCTGCTGGAACAGGTTCTAAACGGAACGGCGCCCGCAAATCTTGTTGTTTTGCGCCACTCCCTCGCGTCTCCACCATGGCCGCTCGTGCGCGCAATGCTCTCCCAATCCAAAGGGTAAATGATAGCAGTCAAGCCGCTCTAGACCGACATCTGACATCAGCCCCGTCCTGGCCATTACCCTCCTCTCACCCTCCCTTCTTGGTTCTATCCCGGGAAGGGTTGTTGATCTGTCGAGCGCTGTACCGGGATACAGCGAAAGGGATGTCGAAGCGGAGATCATGCAGGCTAGTGAGTGTCTCCCAGCCCGCCATCAACCCAAGCTGACAGCAGTCGCCGAGCTCGCACCCGGAACACAGGTCCTTCTCGATGCTCCCGACGTCCTTGTTGAGGACCACCCTCGCGCCTGGCGCACTCTGCGCGCGCTGATCGCCGCCACCTCGAAGCCCGGATCACGCCTGATCCTTCCCCTCCCCCCCTCCTCCCTCCTCGACGACGTCATCTCCGCCTCCTTCTCCCCCTCTCTAGCGCTACTCACACCACTGCCCGTCCGCATTGTCCAATCCACGATCGAAGCATATCTCCTCACATCACCCGATCCCCTCCCACCCCTCCTCGACTCGGCGCTCTCGCGCGGCGCGGCAGACCTTCCTGTTCTGCGGGACATGGACCCGCCTTCCCCCGACAGCGTAGTCTGCGTGCTCCTCCGCAAAGCGGCTGGAGGTGCGAAGGGCATCCAGCGCTCTATCGAGAGGTTCCGGAGCCGCGTCGTCCCCCTCGGCTCCATGGTCGACTTCAAGCCGGCATCCGTCGCAAAGGTCACAACCCACGCCGACCTCAACCTCCCCTTCAACCTCAGCCTCACGGAGAGCCAGCGCGAAGCGCGAGGCGCGGTTCCCCTCCCGTATGCGCATGAAGGCGAGGGCGCAGATTTAGGTATGGGGATGGACTGGTCGGACGATGAGGAGGACGAGGAGATCTAGGCCCTACAAGGCAGCTGGGGAAGGACACTATAGATGCATTTTGGTGATCATCCTGGACCGTAACTGGGGCTTTTGCCCTTTTCATCAACCGAGCAATGGCGTGGGAAGTCACACCCCAAGCTCATGGTCACATGCCACATCGTCAGATCATGAGCTGACGGCTGGCGACGAGTCTGCGCCTAGCGGACACCCGCCCGTGGAGGAGCCTGGGAACGACTTGACGCCTCGAGGGCACCCGTCGGCCCACGCCGTGTCCGTCTGATAAGGCCGTGTGACACCAACACCGCCTGTCCCTCTCCGCGATCGGCGATCCGCAGGTGACAACCCACGACGTGTACCTGCTTGGCGCGTCCGACTGGTCTTCCGGGTTTCCGATATCTTTAGCCCAAGATCTCGCTGACATCCGAATTCGGTTGGCAGTACGAACCGGATCTCACCTGTCAGTGGCGGTCAGTGATGGCCCTAAGCCCGTTGCCCTTTAGCATAACAATAACAACCGCATAGCAATATACGGCCCGCTCTATATGGAAAAAAGGAGAGAAACGCAAGGAAACAAGGTATCCGCCTCTAGGGCGGTGGTGGTGGGGTCGTGGGAGTGCTCGCTGATGCGGGCGCAACCCCCACAGGCGAACTCGCAGGCCGCATTCGGATTGAACCGCGGCGCGCATAAAGTTGACCATGGTTTGTGTGCTGGGCGCTATAACAGCTGTGGCACGATGCGCGAGGGATTCGACTACTCAAGCCTTCTTCCTCCACCGTCCTCCGCGTCTCCAAAACTGTCCCCTCCCTCCCCTCCCATGTCCCGGTGCCCTGCGAGGGGCCAATACCCGGAATGTGCCCAGCTCAGATACGTCCCATGCCGACCATTCCAGCCACGGGTGGGCCGAGACCCATGATTTCCTGGAACGGGACGGGCTCGCGGGAGGGGTCCATGGCGCGTAGACGTTCGACCTCGCGCTCATGGTTGCGGCGCGCCATCTGGAGGTCGCCCTCAACGACGACACCCTTCAGCCACTCGTGCTTGACAAGCTCCGATGCAGGTGCGCGACTGTCGGGGTAGTAGTGGAGCATTGGGAGGATGAATGAAGTCAGAAGCTCAGCCTCCTCAGCTTCCATGAGGTATTTCTCTTTGAGCACCGACAAGAGCGGCCAGAATCGGAGGCGCTGGATGTGTCGGAGTTCGCCCCGGTGGTTGAACATGTCGCGCGAGTACTTGCCCGAGAGCGCCAAAGATTTGGGCATCTCGCCGAGCAGCTCCATGATCTGCGCGACATGGTCGTCGTCCTTGTCGTACTTTGTTCCTGGCTGCGGGTCAAATAGGTAGTCGCCAGTGAGCAGCTCGAAGATCTAGGCGTCAGAAGCACGCCCTTATCAATTTCGGCTTACCAAGCATGCGGCACTCCAAATGTCGACGCTCGGGCCCCATCTGGTGCCCAGGATGATTTCGGGGCATCGGTACTGGCGAGTCTGGATGTCGTTCGTAAAGTGGTGGTCGACCCAACATGCGTTACCGAGATCGGCGATCTTGACGGTGATGCGTTCCAAGCTCTTCGGGTCATATGGGAACGGAGGAGGAAGTGTGTTAGGGTCGCCAGCGACGGGTGCGTTCTGTTCTCCAGCTGGGATATGGTGAGCTTCCAGCTGCTGAAGATTGTTCAGATGCCCACCAGACGAACTGCCGGCATCAGACGGCGCGGGGTCTGGACGCGCCGGGGTTGGCTGAGGCTTGGCCGCCGCAGCAAACTTGGCCGCCGTGTCGGATGCCGCTGTCTGTGTTGGAGGCGGATGAGCCTTAGCCTTGCCCTTGTCGTCCTTGGAGGCATTAGAGACGTTGTTCGGGACGCTACTGCTGCTAGCCTGAGCGCTCGAGTTAGGAGAGTCTGCGGGGAGCTGATTTATCTGCTGGGAGAGTAGCGAAGGTCCGGGTTGCACTTTAGGAGGTGCGGGCTTGGTCTTGCTCCAGGTTAGGTCGCTGCTCTCGCCTTCGATCTTGACATTGCCGAGGCCATCTCCAATTGCATCAGTCGCATTGGCGCGGGGTGGGCCTGCAGGCGCGCTCTGGCCGACTGCACCGGCGCCTGAGATCTTGCTCATCCCAAAACCGTACTTGTCGAGCATCGGGCTGCTAGAGTAGCTCGAGCTGGGACTTGGCAACGGCTGCGAGCCAACGATAAACAACGACTCTTTGCGAGGAGTTTGGTTACCAGCACGCCCTTGGCTGGGCGGTACGCCGACCAACTTTGTGGGCACGGCAGCTGGACATGAGGCCAGCTCTGCCTGCACGACCGACTCGACGTCTTCGATGCAAATGAGGACATTCTCGGGCTTGAGATCGGTGTGAATGATGCGACATTCAGTGTGAAGGTAGTCGAGACCTAACAGGATCTGTTTTGCTATCTGACGCACGATATGGGTTGGAACACCGCGGTGCTGATACCGCTTGATAAGGCCTAGCAGGTTCTCACCAAGCACCTCGAAAACCATGCAGACGTGCGAGCCGTTTGGGCCGTTATGACGAAAGTCGTCGACAAGTCCGACAACGTGGGAGCGACCGGGGTGCGACTCGGACGACGTCGTTACCCGCTGGAGCAGTTGGATTTCGTCCAATGCAGTCTCAGTGTAGTGGCCGTCCGACTTGACGACCTTGAGAGCGACGTGACGGTTGGTCCTGGCGGATTAGCAGAACTCGGTGAGTTCATCAGGCGCAGAGGCAGACGCGAGCGCCCACGAAGACGAAGACGGCATACGTACGTGTTATCTCTTGCCAGCCAAACGGTTGAGAAGTGACCCCATCCGAGCTTGCGTACGATTACATAGCGACCGTTGTTGAAGTCGTCACCAATGTTGATGGGGTGATATCCACCGGGACGGTAGTCCTCGAGATCTTCCTCGTCCTCTGTCATTACAGAGGCAACGGAAGAGGGGCCTGTAGAGGCCGAAAGCTGGGCAGAGGATGGATGAGCTTGGGCAGGCATGGCCACCGGTGGCGCTGCTGGGCGCTGCATTAGGTCAGCTATGCGAAATGCGGGGAACGCTGGATGGGGAGTGTGATGGATGGCAAATGTGTAGTTGGGCGAGAGATCTCTTGGGCCGCGGCAAAGAAGGAATGATGACGAGTCGCGGCTGAAGCCCCGGCTGAGTTGGTTGCAATGGTGTTGATGATGATGATAGTGTTGGTGGCAAGGTATGAATGTCGGCCGGAGAGAGTGTTCACACGAGCGAGCGAGCGACGGGTATTCGGCGTCAAGATGTCGTCAAGGCGCACGGGGTAAAAGAGGTCGATGCGCGAAGAGAATATCGATGAGAGAAGGAGATATAAACTCACAGAAGCGGTGGCGGCAGATGCCATAAAGGGGGTGGAGGAGAGGAAAGCGGAGGAAGGAAGCGGCTGCGAGCTAGTCGTTGGGGGAGATGTAACAATCTAGCGCGCAGATGAGAGTACCAGAGATTTGGCGATTAG